TTGTGTGCAGGCACGGCCGTCGTCGCGGGCGCCGAACTTTTCTGTGTGCGCGAACCAAGCTGAAGCTGCTCTGGTAGGTGTATTTGAACATGGGCCACCCAAATGTGCAACACTATTTGGGTCGTTGGATGCTTTTCCCTGCGCCTATAGGGATCCTGCACTTCCTTAGCATTTGTGGGCAGGCACGGCCGTCGTCGCAGGCGCCGAACTTTTCTGTGCGCGCGAACCAAGCTGAAGTTGCTCTGGAAGGTGTATTTGAACATGGGCCACCCGAATGTGCAACAATATTCAGGTCGTTGGATGCTCTTCCCTTCGTCTTTAGGGACCCGTGCGCTTCCTTAACATTTGTGGGCAGGCACGGCCGTCGTCGCGGGCGGCGAACTTTTCTGTGCACGCGAACCAAGCTGAAGGTGCTCTGGTAGGTGTATTTGAACATAGGCCACCCGAATGTGCAACAATATTCGGGTCGTTGGATGATTTTCCCTACGCCTATAGGGATCCGTGCACTTCCTTAGCATTTATGGGCAGGCACAGCCATCGACGCGGGCGCCGAACTTATCTGTGCGCGCAAACCAAGCTGAAGGTGCTCTGGTAGGTGTATTTAAACATGGGCCATCCAAATATGCAACAATTTTCGGGTCGTTGGATGCTTTTCCCTACGCCTATAGGGATCCATGCCCTTCCTTAGCATTTGTGGGCAGGCACGGTCGTCGTCGCAGGCGCCGAACTTTTCTGTGCGCGCGAACCAAGCTGAAGTTGCTCTGGTAGGTGTATTTCAACATGGGCCATCCGAATATGCAACAATATTCGGGTTGTTGGATGCTTTTCCCTACGCCTATAGGGATTCGTGCCCTTCCTTAGCATTTGTGGGCAGGCACGGCCGTCGTGGCGGGCGTCGAACTTTTCTGTGCGAGAGAACCAGGCTGGAGGTGCTCTGGTAGGTGTATTTGAACATGGGCCACCCGAATATGCAAAAATATTCGGGTCGTTGGATGCTTTTTCCTACGCCTATAAGGATCCGTGCGCTTCCTTAGCATTTGTGGGCAGGCACGGCCGTCGTCGCGGGCGCCGAACTTTTCTGTGCGCGCGAACCAAGCTGAAGCTGCTCTGGTAGGTGTATTTGAACATGGGCCACCCGAATTTGCAACAATATTCGGGTCGTTGGATGATTTTCCCTACGCATATAGGGATCCGTGCGCTTCCTTAGCATTTGTGGGCAGGCACGGCCGTCGTCGCGGGCGCCGAACTTTTCTGTGCGAGCGAACCAAGCTGAAGGTGCTCTGGTAGGTGTATTTGAACATGGGCCACCCAAATATGCAACAATATTCGGGTCGTTGGATGGTTTTCCCTACTCCAACAGGGATCCGTGCGCTTCCTTAGCATTTGTGTGCAGGCACGGCCGTCGTCGCGGGCGCCGAACCTTTCTGAGAACCAGGCTGGAGGTGCTTTGGTAGGTGTATTTGAATATGGGCCACCCGAATATGCAACACTATTCGGGTCGTTGGATGCTTTTTCCTACGCCTATAGGGATCCGTGCGCTTCCTTAGCATTTGTGTGCAAGCATGGCCATCGTCGCGAGCGCCGAACTTTTCTGTGCGCGCGAACCAATCTGAAGCTGCTCTGGTAGGTGTGTTTGAACATGGGCCACCCAAATGTGCAACACTATTCGGGTCGTTGGATGCTTTTCCCTGCGCCTATAGGGATCCTGCACTTCCTTAGCATTTGTGGGCAGGAACGGCCGTCGTCGCGGGCGCCGAACTTTTCTGTGCGCGCGAACCAAGCTGAAGTTGCTCTGGAAGGTGTATTTGAACATGGGCCACCCGAATGTGCAACAATATTCAGGTCGTTTGATGCTCTTCCCTTCGTCTTTAGGGACCCGTGCGCTTCCTTAACATTTGTGGGCAGGCACGGCCGTCGTCGCGGGCGGCGAACTTTTCTGTGCACGCGAACCAAGCTGAAGGTGCTCTGGTAGGTGTATTTGAGCATAGGCCACCCGAATGTGCAACAATATTCGGGTCGTTGGATGCTTTTCCATACGCCTATAGGGATCTATGCCCTTCCTTAGCATTTGTGGGCAGGCACAGCCGTCGTCGCAGGCGCCGAACTTTTCTGTGCGCGCGAACCAAGCTGAAGTTGCTCCGATAGGTGTATTTGAACATGGGCCACCCGAATGTGCAACAATATTAGAGTCGTTAAATGCTTTTCCCTATGCCTATAGGGATCCGTGCGCCTCCTTAGCATTTTTGTGCAGGCACGGCCATCGTCGCGGGCGCCGAACTTTTCTGTGCGCGCGAACCAGGCTCAAGTTTATCTGATAGGTGTATTTGAACATGGGCCACCCGAATGTGCAACGATATTCGGGTCGTTGGATGCTTTTCCCTACGCCTATAGGGATCCATGCGCTTCCTTAGCATTTGTGGGCAGGCACGGCCGTCATCGCGGGCGCCGAACTTTTCTGTGCGCGTGAACCAGGCTGAAGCTGCTCTGGTCGGTATATTTGAACATGTGCCACCAATAATATTCGCGTCGTTGGATGCTTTTCCCTACGCCTATATGGATATGTGCGCTTCCTTAGCATTTGTGGGCAGGCACGGCCGTCGTCGTGGGCGCCGAACTTTTCTGTGCGCGCGAACCAGTCTGAAGTTGCTCTGGTGGGTGTATTTGAACATGGGCCACCCGAATATGCAACAATATTCGGGTCGTTGGATGTTTTTTCCTATGCCTATAGGGATCCGTGCGCTCTCTGGTAGGTGTATTTGAACATGGGCCAACCGAATATGCAACAATATTCGCGTCGTTGGATGCTTTTCCTTACGCCTATAGGGATCCTGCGCTTCCTTAGCATTTGTGTGCAGGCACGGCCGTCGTCGAGAGCGCCGAATTTTTCTGTGCGCGTGAACCAAGCTGAAGTTGCTCTGGTAGGTGTATTTGAACATGGGCCACCCGAATATGCAACAATATTCGGGTCGTAGGATGCTTTTCCCTACGCCTTCAGGGATCCTGCACTTCCTTAGCATTTCTGTGCAGGCACGGCCGTCGTCGCGGGCGCCGAACTTTTCTGTGCGCGCGAACCAGGCTGAAATTTCTCTGGTAGGTGTATTTGAACATGGGCCACCCGAATATGGAACAATATTCGGGTCGTAGGATGCTTTTCCCTACGCCTACAGAGATCCTGCGCTTCCTTAGCATTTGTGTGCAGGCACGGCCGTCGTCGCGGGCGCCGAACTTTTATGTGCGCGCGAACCAGGCTGAAGTTGCCTTTTTAGGTGTGTTTGAACATGGGCCACCAGAATATGCAACAATATTCGGGTTGTAGGATGCTTTTCTCTACGCCTACAGGGATCCTGCGCTTCCTTAGCATTTGTGGGCAGGCACGGCCGTCGTCGCGGGCGCCGAACTTTTCTGTGCGCGCGAACCAAGCTGAAGTTTCTCTGGTAGGTGTATTTAAACATGGGCCACCCGAATATGCAACAATATTCGGGTCGTTGGATGCCTTTCGTTACGCCTATAGGGATCCGTGCGCTTCCTTAGCATTTGTGGGCAGGCACGGCCGTCGTCGCGGGCGCGAACTTTTCTGTGCACGCGAACCAGGCTGAAGTTTCTCTGGTAGGTGTATTTGAACAAGGGCCACCCGAATGTGCAACAATATTCGGGTCGTTGGATGCTTTTCCTTACGCCTATAGGGATCCTGCGCTTCCTTAGCATTTGTGGGCAGGCACGGCCGTCGTCGCGGGCGCCGAACTTTTCTGTGCGCGCGAACCAGGCTGAAGTTGCTCTGGTAGGTGTATTTGAACATGGGCCACCCGAATGTGCAACAATATTTGGGTCGTTGGATGCTTCTCCTTACGCCTATAGGGATCCTGCGCTTCCTTAGCATTTGTGTGCAGGCACGGCCGTCGTCGCGGGCGCCGATCCGTGCGCTTCCTTAGCATTTGTGTGCAGTCATGGCCGTCGTCGCGGGCGCCGAACTTTTCTGTGCGCGCGAACCAGGCTGAAGTTGCTCTGATAGGTGTATTTGAACATGGGCCACCCGAATGTGCAACAATATTCGGGTCGTTGGATGCTTTTCCCTACGCCTATAGGGATCCGTGCGCTTCCTTAGCATTTGTGGGCAGGCACAGCTGTCGTCGCGGGCGCCGAACTTTTCTGTGCGCGCGAACCAAGCTGAAGCTGCTCTGGAAGGTGAATTTGAACATGGGCCACCCGAATGTGCAACACTATTCGAGTCGTTGGATGCTTTTCCCTACGGCTTTAGGGATCCGTGCGCTTCCTTAGCATTATCCGCGCCGAACCTGCACACAAATGCTAAGGAAGCGCACGGATCCCTAAAGGCGTAGGAAAAAGAATCCAACGACCCGAATATTGTTGCATATTCGGGTGGCCCATGTTCAAATACACCTACCAGAGCAACTTCAGCTTGGTTCGCGCGCACAGAAAAGTTCGGCACCCGCGATGACGGCCGTGCCTGCCCACAAATTCTAAGGAAGCGCACAGATCTCTATAGGCGTAGGGAAAAGCATCCAACGACCCGAATATTGTTGCACATTCGGTTGGCCCATGTTCAAATACACCTACCAGAGCAACTTCAGCTTGGTTCGCGCGCACAGAAAAGTTCGGCGCCCGCGATGACGGCCGTGCCTGCCCACAAATGCTAAGGAAGCGCACGGATCCCTATAGGCGTAGGGAAAAGCATCCAACGACCCGAATATTGTTGCACATTTGGGTGGCCCATGTTCAAATACACCTACCCGAGCAACTTCAGCCTGGTTCGCGTGCACAGAAAACTTCGGCGCCCGCGACGACGGCCGAGCCTGCCCACAAAAACCAAAGGAAGCGCACGGATCCCTATAGGCGTAGGGAAAAGCATCCAACGACCCGAAGATTGTTGCACATTCGGGTGGCCCATGTTCAAATACATCTACCCGAGCAACTTCAGCCTGGTTCGCGCGCACAAAAAAGTTCGGCGCCCGCGACGACGGCCGTGCCTGCACACAAATACTATGGAAGCGCGCGGTTCTTTATAGGCGTAGGGAAAAGCATCCAACGACCCGAATATTGTTGCACATTCGGGTGGCCCATGTTCAAATACACCTATCAGAGCAGGTTCAGCTTGGTTCGCGCGCACAGAAAAGTTCGGCGCCCGCGACGACGGCCGTGCCTGCACACAAATGCTAAGGAAGCGCACGGATCCACCCGAATGTGCAACAATATTCGGGTCGTTGGATGCTCTTCCCTATGCCAATAGGGATCCGTGCTCTTCCTTAGCATTTGTGTGCAGGCACGGCCGTCGTCGCGGGCGCCCCGCCCCATCCTCCCTCCTTCCATCACCCCGCCCCATCCTCCCGCTTTCCATCACCCCGCCCCATTCTCCCGCTTTCCATCACCCCGCCCCACTCTCCCGCGTTCCATCACTCCGCCCCATTCTCCCGCTTCCATCACCCCGCCCCATTCTCCCGCTTTCCATCACCCCACCCCATTCTCCCGCTTTCCATCACCCCGCCCCATTCTCCCGCTTTCCATCACCCCGCCCCATTCTCCCGCTTTCCATCACCCCGGCCCATTCTCCCTCTTTCCATCACCCCGCCCCATTCTCCCTCTTTCCATCACCCCGCCCCATTCTCCCGCTGTCCATCACCCCGCTCCATTCTCCCGCTTTCCATCACCCCGCCCCATTCTCCCGCTTTCCATCACCCCGCCCCATTCTCCCGCTTTCCATCACCCCGCCCCATTCTCCCACTTTCCATCACCCCGCCCCATTCTCCCGCTTCCCATCACCCCGCCCCATTCTCCCGCTTTCCATCACCCCGCCCCATTCTCCTGCTTTCCATCACCCCGCCCCATTGTCTCGCTTTCCATCACTCTGCCCCATTCTCCCGCTTTCCATCACCCCGCCCCATTCTCCCGCTTTCCATCACCCCGCCCCATCCTCCCTCCTTCCATCACCCCGCCCCATCCTCCCGCATTCCATCACCCCGCCCCATTCTCCCGCATTCCATCACCCTGGAAGCGCTCGTTCTGAGCGTTTTTCTTCTGCCGGGTCACCTGGCTGCGCTTGTCTGGGCCTAATGCCAAGCCAGCAAGAGCGTGGGTGGGTTGCAAGCATCATCGGTCATCGGCGCTCGCGAATGATGAGCGCCCGCTGCACCTGCACATGTGCGGATCCTTCCGCGTTTTGGGGCTGGAAGCGCTCATTTGGAGCGTTTTTCTTCTACCGGGTCACCTGGCTGCGCTTGTCTGGGCCTATTGCCAAGCCAGCAAGGGCGTGGGAGGGTTGCAAGCATCATTGGTCATTAGCGCTCGCGAATGAAGAGTGCCCGCTTCACTTCCTGCACATGTGCGGATCCTTCCGCGTTTTGGGGTTGGAAGCGCTCACCCTGAGCGTTTTTCTTCTGCCGGGTCACCAGGCTGAGCTTGTCTGGGCCTATTGCCAAGCCAGCAAGGGCATGGGTGGGTTGTAAGCATCATCGGTCATTGACGCTCGCGAATGATGAGCGCCCGCTGCACTTCCTGCACATGTGCGGATCCTTCCGCGTTTTGGGGCTGGAAGCGCTCGTTCGGAGCGTTTTTCTTATACTAGGTCACCTGGTTGAGCTTGTCTGGGCCTATTGCCAAGCCAGCAAGGGCGTGGGTGGGTTGCAAGCATCATCGGTCATCGGCGCTCGCGAATGATGAGCGCCCGCTGCACTTCTGCACATGTGCGGATCCTTCCGCATTTTGGGGCTGGAAGCGCTCGTTTGGAGCGTTTTTCTTCTACCGGATCACCTGGCTGCGCTTGTCTGGGCCTATTGCCAAGCCAGAAAGGGCGTGGGAGGGTTGCGAGCATCATTGGTCATCAGCGCTCGCGAATGAAGAGCGCCCGCTGCACTTCCTGCACATGTGCGGATCCTTCCGCGTTTTGGGGCTGGAAGCGCTCGTTCTGAGTGATTTTCTTCCGCCAGGTCATTAGGCTGCGCTTGTCTGGGCCTATTGCCAAGCCAGCAAGGGCGTGGGTGGGTTGCAAGCATCATCGGTCATCGGCGCTCGCGAATGATGAGCGCTCGCTGCACTTCCTGCGCATGTGCGGATCCTTCCGCGTTTTGGGGCAGGAAGCGCTCGTTCGGAGCGTTTTTCTTCTACCGGGTCACCTAGCTGCGCTTGTCTGGGCCTATTGCCAAGCCAGCAAGGGCGTGGGTGGGTTGCAACTATCATCGGTCATCGGCGCTCGCGAATGATGAGCGCCCGCTGCACTTCCTGTACATGTGTGGATCCTTCCGCGTTTTGGGGCTAGAAGCGCTCGTTTCGAGCGTTTTTCTTCCGCCGGGTCACGTGGCTGCGCTTGTCTGGGCCTATTGCCAAGCCAGCAAGGGCGTGGGAGAATTGCGAGCATCATTGGTCATCAGCGCTCCAGAATGAAGAGCGCCCGCTGCACTTCCTGCACATGTGCGTATACTTTCGCGTTTTGGGGCTGGAAGCGCTCGTTTTAAGCGTTTTTCTTCTACCGGGTCACCTGGCTGCGCTTGTCTAGGCCTATTGCCAGGCCAGCAAGGGCGTGGGAGGGTTGCGAGCATCATTGGTCATCAGCGCTCGCGAATGAAGAGCGCCCGCTGCACTTCCTGCACATGTGCGGATCCTTCCGCGTTTTGGGGCTGGAAGCGCTCGTTCGGAGCGATTTTCTTCTACCGGGTCACATGGCTGCGCTTTTCTGGGCCTATTGCCAAGCCAGCAAGGGCGTGGGAGGGTTGGGAGCATCATTGGTCATCAGCGCTCGCGAATGAAGAGCGCCCGCTGCACTTCCTGCACATGTGCGGATCCTTCCGCGTTTTGGGGCTGGAAGCGCTCGTTCGGAGCGTTTTTCTTCTACCGGGTCACCTGGCTGCGCTTGGTTGGGCCTATTGCCAAGCCAGCAAGGGCGTGGGTGGGTTGCAAGCATCATCGGTCATCGGCGCTCGCGAATGATGAGCGCCCGTTGCACTTCCTGCGCATGTGCGGATCCATCCGCGTTTTGGGGCAGGAAGCGCTCGTTCGGAGCGTTTTTCTTCTACCGGGTCACCTGGCTGCGCTTGGTTGGGCCTATTGCCAAGCCAGCAAGGGCGTGTGAGGGTTGCGAGCATCATTGGTCATCAGCGCTCGCGAATGAAGAGCGCCCGCTGCACTTCTTGCACATGTCAGGATCCTTCCGCGTTTTGGGGCTGGAAGCGCTCGTTCGAAGCGTTTTCTTCTACCGGGTCACCTGGCTGCGCTTGTCTGGGCCTATTGCCAAGCCAGTAAGGCCGTGGGTGGGTTGCAAGCATCATCGGTCATCGGCGCTCGCAAATGAAGAGCGCCCGCTGCACTTCCTGCACATGTGTGGATCCTTCCGCGTTTTGGGGCTAGAAGCGCTCGTTTTTAGCGTTTTTCTTCCGCCAGGTCACGTGGCTGCGATTGTCTGGGCCTATTGCCAAGCCAGCAAGGGCGTGGGAGGGTTGCAAGCATCATTGGTCATCAGCGCTCGCGAATGAAGAGCGCCCGCTGCACTTCCGGCACATGTGCGGATCCTTCCGCGTTTTGGGGCTAGAAGCGCTCGTTTTTAGCGTTTTTCTTCCGCCAGGTCACGTGGCTGCGCTTGTCTGGGCCTATTGCCAAGCCAGCAAGGGCGTGGGAGGGTTGCGAGCATCATTGGTCATCAGCGCTCGCGAATGAAGAGCGCCCGCTGCACTTCCGGCACATGTGCGGATCCTTCCGCGTTTTGGGGCTGGAAGCGCTCGTTCGGAGCGTTTTGCTTCTACCGGGTCACCTGGCTGCGCTTGTCTGGGCCTATTGCCAAGCCAGCAAGGGCGTGGGAGGGTTGGGAGCATCATTGGTCATCAGCGCTCGCGAATGAAGAGCGCCCGCTGCACTTCCTGCACATGTGCGGATCCTTCCGCGTTTTGGGGCTGGAAGCGCTCGTTCGGAGCGTTTTTCTTCTACCGGGTCACCTGGCTGCGCTTGGTTGGGCCTATTGCCAAGCCAGCAAGGGCGTGGGTGGGTTGCAAGCATCATCGGTCATCGGCGCTCGCGAATGATGAGCGCCCGTTGCACTTCCTGCACATGTGAGGATCCATCCGCGTTTTGGGGCAGGAAGCGCTCGTTCGGAGCGTTTTTCTTCTACCGGGTCACCTGGCTGCGCTTGGTTGGGCCTATTGCCAAGCCAGCAAGGGCGTGTGAGGGTTGCGAGCATCATTGGTCATCAGCGCTCGCGAATGAAGAGCGCCCGCTGCACTTCTTGCACATGTCAGGATCCTTCCGCGTTTTGGGGCTGGAAGCGCTCGTTCGAAGCGTTTTCTTCTACCGGGTCACCTGGCTGCGCTTGTCTGGGCCTATTGCCAAGCCAGTAAGGCCGTGGGTGGGTTGCAAGCATCATCGGTCATCGGCGCTCGCAAATGAAGAGCGCCCGCTGCACTTCCTGCACATGTGTGGATCCTTCCGCGTTTTGGGGCTAGAAGCGCTCGTTTTTAGCGTTTTTCTTCCGCCAGGTCACGTGGCTGCGATTGTCTGGGCCTATTGCCAAGCCAGCAAGGGCGTGGGAGGGTTGCAAGCATCATTGGTCATCAGCGCTCGCGAATGAAGAGCGCCCGCTGCACTTCCGGCACATGTGCGGATCCTTCCGCGTTTTGGGGCTAGAAGCGCTCGTTTTTAGCGTTTTTCTTCCGCCAGGTCACGTGGCTGCGCTTGTCTGGGCCTATTGCCAAGCCAGCAAGGGCGTGGGAGGGTTGCGAGCATCATTGGTCATCAGCGCTCGCGAATGAAGAGCGCCCGCTGCACTTCCGGCACATGTGCGGATCCTTCCGCGTTTTGGGGCTGGAAGCGCTCGTTCGGAGCGTTTTGCTTCTACCGGGTCACCTGGCTGCGCTTGTCTGGGCCTATTGCCAAGCCAGCAAGGGCGTGGGAGGGTTTCGAGCATCATTGGTCATCAGCGCTCGCGAATGAAGAGCGCCCGCTGCACTTCCTGCACATGTGCGGATCCTTCCGCGTTTTGGGGCTAGAAGCGCTCGTCTGAGCATTTTTCATTTACCGGGTCACCTGGCTGCACTTGTCTAGGCCTATTGCCAAGCCAGCAAGGGCGTGGGAGGGTTGCGAGCATCATTGGTCATAAGCGCTCGCAAATGAAGAGCGCCCGCTGCACTTCCTGCACATGTGCGGATCCTTCCTTGTTTTGGGGCTGGAAGTGCTCGTTCGGAGCGTTTTTCTTCTACCGGGTCACCTGGCTGCGCTTGTCTGGGCCTATTGCCAAGCCAGCAAGGGCGTGGGAGGGTTGCGAGCATCATTAGTCATCAGCGCTCGCGAATGAAGAGTGCCCGCTGCACTTCCTGCACATGTGCGGATCCTTCCGCGTTTTGGGGCTGGAAGCGCTCGTTCGGAGCGTTTTTCTTCTACCGGGTCACCTAGCTGCGCTTGTCTGGGCCTATTGCCAAGCCAGCAAGGGCTTGGGTGGGTTGCAAGCATCATCGGTCATCGGCGCTCGCGAATGATGTGCGCCCGCTGCACTTCCTCCACATGTGCGGATCCTTCCGCGTTTTGAGGCTAGAAGCGCTCGTTCTGAGCGTTTTTCTTTCGTTGGGTCACCAGGCTGCGCTTGTCTGGGCCTATTTCCAAGCCAGCAAGGGCCTCGGTGGGTTGCAAGCATCATCGGTCATCGACGCTCGCGAATGAAGAGCGCCCGCTGCACTTCCTGCACATGTGCGGATCCTTCCGCGTTTTGGGGTAGAAGCGCTCGTTCCGAGCGTTTTTCTTCCGCCGGGTCACGAGGCTGCGCTTGTTTGGGCCTATTGCCAAGCCAGCAAGGGCGTGGGAGGGTTGCGAGCATCATTGGTCATCAGCGCTCGTGAATGAAGAGCGCCCGCTGCACTTCCTGCACATGTGCGGATCCTTCCGCGTTTTGGGGCTGGAAGTGCTCGTTCGGAGCGTTTTTCTTGTCTGGGCCTATTGCCAAGGCAGCAAGGGCGTGGGAGGGTTGCAAGCATCATTGGTCATCAGCGCTCGCGAATGAAGAGCGCCCGCTGCACTTCTTGCACATGTGCAGATCCTTCCGCGTTTTGGGGCTGGAAGCGCTCGTTTGGAACGTTTTTCTT